TCTTTAACTCTATTCTACATGTTTATTTTTTTTTTTTTAGATGTATTATTTAGAAAATAAACAGGTTAAAACAAAAGGTTAAACTTATTTTAAAACATTAATATATTTCAGTTATAAATGGAAAAAGATTTTTTTGCTTACGTTGTAAATAAGAATACTTGTAAGATCTACTATATATACATTCCATAAGTTTATTCATTTTTTTTTATTAAAAATGATTTTACCATACGATGTTCTGATTGTTGCTTAATAACACAATGGATAAGCTTATTCGGGATTTAAAAAAAAATTAGCGATCCACAGTAATAGCTTAATGTTGGTTTAAAAATGTATTAACAAATTATCCACAAAATAATATTGCAATCAATATACACACGAAAATGAAATAAAATTAACCAAAAAATATAGTAGCTATTATAGCAATGCAAATGAAAACAAAATTCAGTTTTAAAATTTCAAAAAGATCAGAAAGTACTCAACCAGCTGAACAAAACCAAATAACTACAGCATTTCACTCTTATTTATTAAAGTAGAAGTCAAAAAAGAGTTTTTGGGCTAAGAGGATCAAACAGAAAATTTAACCAAATAAAACAACTAACCGACTGCTGTCCTGTTAATAGTAAAGGTGGCTAAATCAGGACTAAGTAGTAGGTGTGGGAGAGCCGCAGAAGTTTAGAGCTGAAATAAAAATTTTGCCGAATTTAATGATACACAATCTAAAATAGTTAGTACTAATCTAATATTAAGGTGCAACTAAAGAGGCCCAAAAATTATTATGAATGTAAGGGGGCGAGGGGGTAACGAGTATTATAAAAATAAGAGAGAGGCAATGGGTATTATCAAAATAAGGGGAGTTAAGAGGTCTAGAAGGGGATTTTTTTAAATTTAACCCAGTTAACTCATAGAAAAATTGAACGAATTTTACCTAACACTGATGGGAGCTCAGAAAGCTGAGGTGGGTTAAAAATGATGTAGGGAGCTGAGAAATAAATGGGGGAGTCAAAATATTGTACCCAATAAAAATAATCAAAAGAATACTAAAAGAATTTTACCATATTTTGAGTGGGATCTGAGTGAGGTTAAAGGGCATGGAGGTAGGAGATGTGAAATGATCCTTTAGATTTGTGTATAATATAAAAATTTACATGCATACAAACATATATACTAGTTGGGCGCCATATGCCTAGGCACTTCATACGACAACCCCCCACTAGTCTAACTTAAAATAAGAATCTTATTATTCTATAAATGAAATACTGACCTACATAATATTTCCATTTTTTTATTGCTATATGCTCCATGAAGTAATATAAATGTATATGCACACATCAAATTTTGTTCAGTTTTTTTTACAGTAAACACAATGCTTACAATGAGCAAAAATTAAATTACACTAATGATTTTAACGCCATTACCTTGTACGCTCACTCTCGTATAGTCGTTCTCCTGATCATAAGGAAAGATTTTGTAATCTCAAGTTATCTTTATTTCTGTTATAAAAAATATTCTTTGAAGTGTTTATAAGTGTGACATTATTGATCCACTACGTTGTAGTCAGTATATTAAACATGGTAACATAGCGTATTTTCTATTTTTCAATTTTCATGTGTACCTTCGAGAGATGTGAACTGTAATAAGCACGTGCATGGAGAAGACCGAAAAATATATAAGTTATAATACAACAGTGAAAGAAGTAAAAAATGTTTCTAAGGTGGCTTGGGCAGTGAGTACCGTACCTACGGTAAGGTGCCAAAAGGGCCCCTAAAAAATCAAAGCTTTTTCAACGGTAAATTTTTCAATAAATATGGTTATTTCGATAAAACCAAAGTACAACATTAAGAAATTGTCATAAAACTACCGTAAAATTATAATTGTGAAAATTGCGAGATGTTGCGAGGCAGACCAGATTAATATTCCATACATTTCTTCTTATTTTTTCTTCAGTTAAGTCGTTGACCCTATATTTTTAAGAATTTAATAGATTCTTTGTTAAAAAAATACACAAGAACTATTTCAAAGTTTTGAGATTAACCAGAGATTTCCGAAGATATAGTTAATTTTGTGACCACTGTCCATAAAAGAAGGTGTTAAACTGATTAGTTTTTAGTAGAAATTTGCAAAAAAATTAAGTCATTGACCCCAGTATTTTATTATTGCAAATACATTTGGCATACTTTATTTACGTAGTTCCAAAATTTTAGAGGTTTTGATCAAGTTGATAAAAATTGCCCAAGCCACCTTAAAAAGAGTTTGAATTGATATTCTTACAACGAAAATATTTATTATTGTAGATGAAGAAAAGTTCATAAAAAAAGCCAAAATGGTGAGTGAAATAAAAACTCTGGTGTTTGATAGAAAAGATTATGAGTATTATGATGGATGAAGAAAAGTAGACCAAAAAGGACTTAAAGGCAGTCAATGTAATACATCGTGGAATTTTAAATGATCAGTTACGATTTGTAAAGGACACAGAAATGAAGTACGAAATAATAAAGAAATTTGTTAAGATACAATTAAGCTACATGATAAAAATGCTTCCAAGTTTGTTAAGTTATACTGGTAGTTTAATCGATGTATTAAAAGAATCTGATCAAATAGTTGAGTACGTGAAAAGTTCAGTAAAAATATGTGAATTCAAAGAATAGGAAGATGGAAGCAAAAACAGTTTAAGTACGTCTAAAACTAAAAGAAAAAAAGATGGAGCATGTTTTGAATGCAAAAAATATGGACACTTCAATGCGCAATGTACGAGAACGAGACCAAGCGATAATTCATGGGAGCAGGAACGAGGTGCGTGCCAACAACAACACCAACGAGTTGACAGAGTTTGTACGGGAGCCGAATCAGGTA